CTCTGCAGTCGGGACACAGTGGAGCGGCTCACTCCATAGTGTCTGGCAACGCTGGCACATGACAGGCCTGCCTGCAGCATGCCAAGTTTAGGGTGCCATTCGAATCACAGAAAACTGACTCAGTGTGGTCTTTTTCTTGCAGCGACCTAAGCCTTGAATTAAGGCCTTTTTAAAGGTGACCTGATCAGGCATTGTTCCACCTGGATCTCGTTGGGTAAAAGTGCACCTAACGAGCTTTCCTGTGATTGGCAAGTTGCAATGCCTCACTGCACAAGCTGTTTTGCTGGTCAGAGGGCTGAGAACAAATTGATAACTTTTTGTGAAAGTAAATGAGCTATATCTATAGTATTCTCATTCCAGAAAATGTTGCGTTTCTTTTTTCCATCTGTATATATTTCGGTAATAAATTGGTGGACCATATCTAAAAAAAATTCAAATTCCAAATAAACAAAATTGTGAACTTTGTGGAAGTACCGTATGGTGGCCACACACTACTTTCACAGTACTTTCAATAAGCCGGGAATTGCAAAGTGGTGCTGCCCTTCCTGCTCAGTAGTCCCTGTAATGACTGATGTACTGCGATGTACCAATGAATAAGTACAGGTTATGCAGCAGATATTTCACCACAGAAATGTCCCAACATGATCTGCATGCAGAGTTAACAAGTCAATATTTGGCTAAAACTGTTGAAGTCGAGAGCAGTATTTCTATTGGATTAAAAGTGGGGAACTCACAAACCTTTTTTTTTTTTATTTAGGGAACTCACAAGCCTGCTTGTTTACAATGTAATAGGGTCACAACACGTCACCGGAAGTTTTGCTGCCTCGTTCTGAATCGCAGAGTATGGCGCTGCACGGACCTGGAAATGTGATCTATTTTGCGATGGAAATTGGAGGTTTTACACGTTACTGTGTACATTGTACTGCCATTGTAGTTTGAAATGCGCCCATCGGGTCTCCGGCGGATGCCTGTATTGCTTCATCTCTTCTGAGCGGCCACTGCATGTTGGAAATACGGCCGCCGTGAAGAGTTTTGGGGGTCCACTGCGAGTTTCACACCTCGCACTTAGCGGGATCATCTCTGTAGTGAAGCACACGTCCTGCCTACAGCGCGGGGTTTGGAAAAGCTGCAGCGAGGTGGCGCTCATTAACGGTAAGGATTTGCTCGATTTTAAAACTTTAATTCTTGCGCTAGGGTTTAAATGCAGGGTGCACTTGGCATGTTCACTGGAGGGCAGGTGCGCTTTAGTCTTGCTGCCAGTTGGCGGTGGTTCTAGAAGTACTCAAGAAAGGCTGAAGTGTTTTGGGGGGCACTGTAGTTGGACTGATAGCCCACTAGAGGGAGCCAAAGGCTTGCAAATGCGCTTTTATTCGGCTGGGAAGCGCACTATCGGAAACGCGTGCTCGCCATAAGCCTGAGTCAAAGCGCTTACTGCTCTGCGTGAACAGCAGCGGATCGATTTTAAATAGAAACTTTAAGCGGGGTGGGATGACGTGTTTCTTGGGTTGGGTGTCTGGAGTTCGTGAGCTAGCAGTTAGGAAATTGCTTTATCTACTTCGGTTGAAAGGTACTGACAGCCTCAGAAAGCACCACCCAGCCCATCTCAGCATCCTTCGGAATACCTAGTGGTTTAATTGCCCATCTGTGATGTCATTTGTTTCCATAGCAACCAGCACTCTCTTTTACTTATTTCTCCGCAGTGTAGCTGTAGGTCATTAACAGTGACTTCAAATAGCTTCCAGACTAGCTGCGTCTTACAGTAAAGTAGTTTCCAGCTTCCCAGTAAAAGAGAAAACTATTCTGAGTTTTGCTGTTCTCTATTGAAGTTCAGGAGTTTTATTTAGCTCTCCCTTGCTGCAGTACTAGCCTCGTCCTGTGGGTGGCAGTGTTGTTTAAGTTTTTTGCCGTACTGGGTTGATTGAGAAAGGAATCCAGTACATAAGATAAGATCACTTTATTGGCCCTATACAATTACTCGCATTAGGAATTTGTCTTTTTCACATACCCCAGCTTGCTCTCCATGAGACACACAGACAGGGAGAGAAGCTGGGGGTCAGAGCACAGGGTCAGCCATTTATACAGCACCCCTGGAGCAGCTGGGGTGAAAGGCCTTGCTCAGGGGCCCAACAGAGTAGGAGTCCTCTGCCAGCCGCGGGATTTGAACCGGCAACCTTCCAGCCACAGGCGCAGATTCTGAGCCACAAACCCACCACTCCGCACCGATACATCATGCAAATAAATCCCCACTAGTGAGGACCAGGTTTTTAACGATGCTCTGTAGGCAAGTAGAAAACCGCAAGGTGAACAGCTTTAATCTCATGCACGTGCATGTAGAGCTAAATGCAGTGCCTTGTTCTAGGAATGTGTAGATATACAGTGTATGCGGTCATGACGCAGTTTATTTTGGGTTATTTATTTTTAAAAAATGTTCCGCTAAGAATGAATTGCATTGATGCCACACCTTTCATTTTACAGTATAGGACCGAGAGCAACCTGTTTTATTTTCCTATCGCTAGCTCAAATAGTGTGTTTTTCTCTAGCGATGATGGGGATACGTGCGGTAGGGGGGGTTTCTTTTGACTCGGCCTGGTGAGGAAGAGGAGGACCACGGTTTCTTTTCTCCAGCGCGCAGATGGGCGTGGCCTCGTGCTATAGGTGTGCGAGCATGGTTGAGGAGGAGAGTCAGCCATGTTAGCTGGAAATGCTGAGGCATAGTATTATGGGAAGGGCAAACGAGACAGGATGTTGCTTTGCGAGATCTTATCTCTTCTTTGAAAAGTGGAGCCAACAAAACCTGCGCCCTCTGGTTTGAGACGGCGTTTCTTTTCTGTGCTCAAGTGCAACACAGTAAGTTCCCCTTAGAGCTCCACCTGGGGCTTCATTTGGTATTTTTTACAGGGAAATGTAAGGACATCCAACAGTCCACAGGACAGGAAGGGATTATCCCACTTCAGGTATTGAAAGCAGTTAATTTCTTAACACATAATCAATTACTAAAAAACACAGCCGGAATCTTGATCGAAAGGCATGCTTGTTGTGTACCAAGACTGGCACACATTATCATTGTGAAGTAAGAGAGACAAAATCAAGCACGTTGAATAGTTTTTTGGCTTTTATTTTGTTATTTGCAGTCAGACACACAGGAGCTGAGGAGAGGCAAGGAGGAGAGGAGAGATTTGGCATGGAAAATGACTTTCCAGTGGCCCAGGGTTTTACAGAGGAGATGTTGTCCTCTTGGAAGCGTGGCAGAGTGTTACAACAGGGGTGTTTCTACTGACAACAGCACGCATGCTTCCTACAAAACCGTACAAATCAATCTGTTCAGCCTTGGATTAGTCCTTTCACATCTTTTGAAGCGTGCGAAAAAGACAATTTTACCAGGCTCAGTGTGGGTTATTTTCTCGTTTTTGCAGTTGGCATAGCGCAGCTATCTCTGGGCTGGGATTTTTTTTTCCTGTTTCATTGAGGGTTTGTCCACGACGAATCAGGGTTCTCGGTCATCCTGGTCTCCTCCGGGACCCCAGGACGGCTGCAGCAAAGCCAGTCGCGGTGTAGCCAGCGCATAGCAGCGTCGTCAAGAGGCTGGGGGATTTCAGTCAGGCAGCTAGCGGGGCGCCCGGGACGCCGAGGACCCCTGTCTGTGCAGGAGGGGGCACGTGGCGGCCAGCGGACCCAGTGGCGTTCCTGGAGGCACTGCTGAGTGGCCCCTCAGTTAGCGCTGATGATTTTGCTGATCCAGGGCTGGTACGTGGAGATGCGGGTGTAGACGTGGGGGAACCCTCTCAGATTGCAGGGGTTCGTACTGAAGGACACGATCCCATAAGCCTTGCCGCCACACACGAGGGGGCTCCCCGAATCTCCCTGGGTTGAGAAAGAGAGATTTGTGGGATTATTAGGGCTTGTCTGAGCAGTTGCCAGTGCCGCAGGGCCATGTGCAAAGTGATGGCTGTTGCACAGGACGCTGGATTGTAACAGGGGTGTGGTTACCCAGGGCGGCACAGGGGGCTGCCGCACAGCACCCTGGTGCTGTCTGCGTGGAGTTTGCATGTTCTCCCCGTGTTTGTGCGGGTGTCCTCCGGGGTGCTCCACTTTCCTCCCACAGTACAAAAGCCATACTGGTATGTTAAGGGGATACTGGTAAAATTGGCCCTAATATTAGTGTGCCTGTGCCAGTGCCAGTGCCAGTGCCAGTGTATGCTCTGGGCTGGTGTCCCATCCAGGGTGTACCTGCCTTGTGCCCATGGCTTGCTGGGACAGGCTGCAGCTCCCCAGTGACCTTGTACCCTGTAAGGGATAAAGCATCTAGAAAACAGATGGATGGACACCCCCCCCATGAAAAGCCTTCTCATTAGCTTTAAGGCCAATGAGCTTGGTCTGGAAGAAGAGGTTAGAAATGGGTGCATGGCGGGGTTACCCTGTGTGTCTGAGCACGTACCACGCAGGGCCCCCTCCTCGCCTGGGTGCAGATCATGTTGTCGGTGATGCCCCCCCTCCAGTCCCTGTCGCACCGCTTCCTGCCGACGACCGTGACGTTGACTTCCTGCAGCTCGCTGAGGTGGTTCTCCCCGTCGGCGTCCGCGCTACCCCAGCCGCTCACCAGGCACTGCGCGCGCTCCCTCGGGTCCTCCTCCCCCTCCTGCGCCAGGGCCAGGGGCTCCACGAACTGGTTCAGGGTGGCGTTGGTCTGCAGCTGTGGGAGCAGAGAGGAGAGACCCGTGGCGGCATGGCTCGGCTCGGTTCGGCACAGCTCGGCTCGGCACGCCGCGGCGCTCTGAGAAAACCGACAGGGTTTGGGATTTCTAAACACGACGGCCACCTGCTCTCTCCCAGAAACCCCCGTGGTGACGTTTCTGCACCCTGTCACCCAAGTTCACAAAAATATCTCAGTACACGTTCTAGCAAGGCACGACATTCTGATCAGTTAAAAACCTTCTTGGTCGGGTGATTGTCCTTCGTCAGTCAGTAAGAGCGAGGGGGTGTTGGGGTGGGATTTGCACAATGAAAGAGTCCCCCCAGGCCCTCGCAGTCCTGCGGTCCGGGCTTTTCCCCTGCCCCGGCTGTGGAACTGCGGTTGAGCCCAGGGAACAGGGATTTCTCCTTTATAATAATAATAATAATTGCTTACACTTATATAGCGCTTTTCTGGACACTCCACTCAAAGCGCTTGACAGGTAATGGGGATCCCCTCCACCATCACCAATGTGCAGCCCCACCTGGATGATGCGACGGCAGCCATAGTGCGCCAGAACGCTCCCCACACATCAGCAATCAGTGGGGAGCAGAGCAGAGTGATGAAGCCAATTCATAGATGGGGATTATTAGGAGGCCATGATTGGTAACGGCCAATGGGGAATCCCTTCCAGCACTCCTTCGCCGTCGAGTAGCGATTCCAACTGCGTTTGCGTTACTTCCTCAAGTCAGAGTGTTTCCCAGGGATTCCAGCCCTTGTTTTCCGGCGAGCCGAGCCCTGGAGGTGCCAGGCTCTTCCGGAGGCCGGGGGCGTGCCGAGTGAGGCTCACCTTCAGTAACATGATGTCGTTTTCCAGGTTCTCCTCCGAGTAATCTTCATGAGGGAACTGCTTCTGGACATCGAGCACCTGTCTGGAGGACTCCTGTTTCTTCAGTGCATGGGCGCCCAGCAGCACGTAGAGTTTTCTGCAAGACACACACACACACAAACACAATGGAGGATCCCCGTTACACACAGCTTTCTCTCTCGGATCAAGGGGGTTTGATGTATTCGGCATCAAAAAAATTGTTTTTCAGTTTTTTCTTGGATTTCCCAGAGCGGGTCATGTCAGTGATTTTTTTTTTCCCCGCCAGGCGGCTGGAGCAGCGGATCCGTGGAAAGGAAAGACCCGTTGTGGCTCGGCACGGCTCGGCACGGCTCGGCACGGCACGGCTCGGCTCGGCTCGGCTCGGCACGGCTCGGCACGGCTCTGCTTGGCTCTGCTTGGCTCTGCTTGGCTCTGCTTGGCACAGCTTGGCACGGCTCGGCACGGCTCGGCTCGGCATTGCACAGCTCAGCTCGGCTCTGCTTGGCAGGGCTCGGCTCGGCTCGGCTCGGCTCGGCTGCTACACGGGGGGTACCTCCCAGCGCAGTGGGCCGCGGTCACGACGAAGTCCTCTCTGATCAGGAAGCCCCCGCAGCCGGCCACCTTGTCTCTCTGGACCACCAGGTAGGCCATGTAGGGTCTGCTGTGAGGCTGGGCCTCGTGGCCCCCGATGATCCCGTCTCTGAAGAGCCCTGCGAGTTTGTGGGACACAGGTGAGAACTGCCCCCCTCTCGTTAGAATCACGCACCCAGCAGGCTGCCAGCTGACACGGGCCGGGTTAGCGCAGGGGGCCCAGTGAGCTGCTGGACTTTTTTTCTGTGAGGGGGAGAGCAGGCCAAACTGCCACCCCTGCAGTTCCCTCCATTGCACTAGTCCCTATACAAGCCCAGTAAGCGAAGACTCATTAAGGCAACACTATATCCCCATTCAGAAGTCTCCGATTCGTTCCAAGTGCTCCCAACCGGACATAAACCAGTTGAGTCCACTTCCGGACTCTTGCAGTGTAACTGGAAACAAACCAGTTGGGTTTTTCTGGTGAGTTTGAAAAGTGTGGCACCATAAGCAGCTTAGTATAAGTTACAAAAAGCAGAGTAGAACAACATGTCTTTTTCGCTCAAGCTGTTTAAATGTATTATGAAAGAGTTATGTGGTGACATCAAATTTGTATGATCTGTACTGCACATGAGCACTAGAAGTGACACCAACTGATCAATGTATTACTAAACAGAAATAGTTTATTGTGTGTGGTGGTAAATCTTGCACAAAGACAAAATAAAACCCCCAACTGTAAAAGTAAGGTAGAGCATCAAACGATCTAGTGATCTCGACACTGTGCATTCATAGTGTGCATAACCAAAATAAAACACGCACTGTACACAAGGATAAAACCCACAAATAAAGAGTCTTTTTACCAATATTGTTTTTACTTTTTTTTGCTTTGTTATTTTTGTTATGGTGGTTGTGATAACGGCAGCCGAGAGGAGGGAAAAGTAAAACTGGCACAAAGAGCTACGCGCTTGGAGCTCGAATTAGTTCACTCGGCGAGCAAAAATAGTTTTGTATGTGTGTCACTCGTCCTAGCGAGTGCTCGTAAATGAAGTGCTCGTTTAGCACGGAATGAGGGTGCTTGAATGCACGCGTCCTGATTCTCTTTAGAATTTAACAGTGAAAACCGAGCCAGAGGGCACAAGTGGGAACTGTGTGGGAGTGCATTTCAAATCGAGGACAGGAGGCACTTCTTTACACAAAGGGTTGCGGGAGTCTGGAACAAGCTCCCCACCCACGCTGCTGAAGGTGATACCCTGGCTACTTCCAGGAAATGGCTGAAAGAGATCAGTTAACTGCCAGCTACCAAGTGGACTAGATGGGCCAAGTGGCCTTTTCTCAGGTATAACTGTCCGTATGTTCTAATGATCAATTAACTAATGAAGGAGAGGGATATAGCAAAGTTCCATCACAGAGTGCATTGACATAGCCAACCATCTGGATCTAACAGATCCCCCTCCTGGTGCTGAGGCCAGTTACACAGACAGAAACCTTTAAAAGGGTACTTAATCCCCACTGAGCAGTAAAGTGCACTCTTTCTCCTACTCTTTCTCTTTGTCAGGCTACACAGTACTCTCCCCTGTGACCTACATCGTGCTGCGGAAACACAGAGCCATTAAAACAGTACAGTTTCACAAAAACAGCACCTGTATCTCCAACAGTGCCAGCGGCAGAGATGTCCTAGTGAGCCCACATTGAAGCAACATGAAATCCGCATGTACAGTACCCAAGACATACTTACGCTGAGTCAAAGATTTCCCTCCACGTTCCTTTAGAATAATGTAAACACGAGCTGCCAGGGATCTTAAGGTTTTGCAGAATAAACTAATGATTTTGACCTGTCCCACAAAACCAAACTCATTCCTGCTTGAGCAGAAGAGATCAGTATTCTTATTTTCCTTCCTTAAGCTCTTGTCACTGCGTTATTGTAAGATGTTTTTTTAAAAGAGATTTTGCTTCCTATAACCAGACAGGGCTGCTGATCCCACAGGCCTCTGGACTGGAATTCACAGCCTCAAAAGTTAACTAAGAGCTGCCTTAACTAAAGAACATCGACAAAGAGCTATGTGGAAGTGCATTGAGGCACGTCTTTGCACAAAAGGTTGTGGGAGCATGGAACGGCATTGTGGTTGAGGCTGATACCCTGGCTTCTTCCACAACACAGCCGGGTGAGATCTCTGGATCCATTGAAGACGAACTACCAAAAGGTGCTGAATGTCGTTTTCTAACCTCTGCGATAGCCCTTAACCCCACAGAAGAGCGACAAGAATAACTAGAGGTTCCCTCAGGGTGCCTGTGCACGCGTGTGCCCCCCCCGCCGACTGGCGGCGCCGGCCCCAGAACCGCGCGGCGGGACCGGGGCCGATGCCCGGGCCAGCGGGGTGGTGAGGGGGGGTGGAGGATGAGTTTACCTGCGCTGGAGAGTGATGAGAGCAGCGAGAGAGCGGCGGCGAGGCTCTGCAGGAAGCCCATGATCTCGCTGGGGTGTCAGAGAGGGACTGTGGCTCCGTCAGGCTGCCAGCGGCTCTTAAAAAGGGGAGGCCCTGTTCTCGCCGCAGAGAGCGAGGGAAAAAAAAAAGTGGCCAAAACGAATTAGTGTTTCGATGCAAGATGGAGCCCGCTTTTTCTCTCTCTCTCCCTCACACACACACACACGCTGGTGCCCTCCCCCTAGTGGAAACAGTAATAGTGAGATACCTTTTGCAATTAACGCAAATTAAAAACCAGTGCTAGAGTGCATTTCCTGATGAGCTGGAAATGAATGTCATAACAGTCTAGTAACCAGCTGCTCATTTCTGACATACAAGTGGTATAAACGTGCAGGAAAAGGCACAATGCTGTACCTGTCCAGTATGTTACAACCATTCCTCACTTTCTTACATTATATCACTTATTTTGGTTTATATTGGCAATACAAAGTTATTAGAATCATGAGCAGCTGTTAATAAAGTCTGTATGACACTACTCTAAAAGAGATTTTTTAAAGTACCAGACTAGTTTTTTTTTAGTTATAGGTTCTTATCCAAAAAGCCCTGTCCAGAGTTCCATGTGGAGTGCATTTCTTTCTCATTAATTGTAATCACTGTGTTTGCACTTCAGTCAAATATTGTAATAATGATCGAGTGCAGGAACATTATCCGATACCGGCAGCACAAATATTTGAGTTCAGTGAGGCCAGATTTCCCATTGGCCCTTACCCATCATGGCCTCCTAATAATCCCCCTCTCTGAACTGGCTTCATCACTCTGCTCTCCTCCCCACTGAGAGCTGGTGTGTGGGGAGAGGACTGGCGCATCATCCAGGTGGGGCTGCTCACTGGTGGTGGTGGAGGGGATCCCCATGACCTGTAAAGCGCTCTGAGTGGAGGGTCCAGAAAAGCGCTATATAAGTGTAAGCAATTATAATTATTATTATTGTCCTCAACAACTAACCGCAGTGCCTCAGACTCAATACACATCTGCACTCTGCACTTTCTGCATGGTCTACCATTTTGTTTTCTCTCTGCTACATATTTATTGCCCCACAACATTGTTCCTGTTGTTATTATTTATTATGTTGGTCATGTGCTGTCTACATTGTGTGGTGTTGTCTGCTGTACTGTGTAACTCCTCTTCTCGGCTCTTAATTGCACACTGAAAAGTAGATGAAAGCAACATTTCAGCTGTTTGGCCTTCTTCAGGAATGGACATCTTCAGGCTGGGGGTGAGATGAAGGCTCAAGGGCTGAAACATTGTGTTTTTTCTTTTCATTCGTCAGCGTGGAATTAACCTTTACTTGTTCCTGTGCAGCCAACACACACTGACACAGTACCTAGAAAGCCTAATTCTAGACACTGTCCATCTTCCATTGTCATGAGTTTCACTAATTAAAGTGGGAATATCTTGGAGAAGTTATACTTAATTCAATACTCTAAATGTATTGAATGCAAACTCTTGCCTTAGAAGATTTCTAATTCATTGAAGGCATTTTAAACTTCTAAGAGTATGATGTTTTCATGTGGGTAAAGATATTGCAATATTATCAGCAGAGAGCTGTGAATTTTTGGTTGTTTTCATTATAAAAAAAGTCTGCAAGCAAAAGTCAACACGTTGGGCGTCTTCAGAATGAACAGTGAAACACGAACCCTAATGCCACTGAGAACAGGAACCATTTCTTTACACAAAGGGTGGTGGGAGACGGGAACAAGCAGCCCAGCCATATTGTTAAAGTTGGTACCCTGTGAAACACCTGGATGAAATCGCCCGGTCGATCAGCTACTAACTACCGAGCGAGCTAGCTGAGCCGCCCCTTTGTAATCATTCCTACTCCCTCAAAAAGAAGAGAAAAAAAACACGTTAATTTTGGAAATCAAACACCAAGAGCGGAAGAGTACAGTATTTCATGTAGAGCCACTTCTCCTTTTTGTGAACCACAGCTGACCCTGTGAAGCAGTGAACCGGTGCATCAGTTAGCATAAATCAGCCCTTATTCTAAACTGTAAGGCACTGGAATTGTGGTTTTCAGCGAGGGGGGGCAGTGAGACAGCCTGCAGGAATTTCTGACTTTGAAAACGCTGTTTTACAGGGACCGCTTCTGTCTACCAGACGGGCCCCAAGGAAACATTTGAAGAAACAGGACTCCATAAAGGAAAGCGCGTTGAGTTATTTATTTTCAATTACGTAGCGAGCGCTGCCTGTTCCCTTGCGGTCTGCTGGGGCTTCAGAGGGAGAGATGAAGTCGAGTCTCTTTCGGCGGGACAGCGGGATAAAAAAAAAAAACCCAACGCGTCGCGTATCGAATAACAGACAGCAAGAAGACGGCCTCGAAATGATTTTTATTGCCTTCCAGATGACACACACGCACAAAAACTTAATCCACGATTAAAACGAAATCTGTGTGTTTTGTTTTTTTCTGCGTCTAAATCTTTGGGACGTGTCTGTGCCCGGTCCTCGGTTGTGCTCCACGGTTTTGAACCGAGGAGGAGAGAGCAAGCGACTGATACCGCCTTTTTATTCCAAAACGGTCTGTTAACCACGTCACTGCAACGGGAAGGATGCGAGTCTCGTTATTGCTTTAATTAATTAATCAATCAATTAATTAATTGCTTACACTTACATTGCGCTTTTCTGGACACTCCACTCAAAGTGCTTTACAGGTAATGGGGATCCCCTCCACACCCACCAGTGTGCAGCCCCACCTGGATGATGCGACGGCAGCCATAGTGCGTCGTATCATCTTTTAAACTCGTCTTTACAGCCCAAACGAGTCAGCGCAGTGCCGATCGGGTTCACACGCGGTCTGAAAATGTACCGAACGTTTTCTTCCTTCAAAAGGATGCTGTTACGAGGTGGGTAGTGTGGTCACTGTTGAAGTGTGTGGGGAAAGCGAGTCAGAAAATAATGTAGTTTTGTTCTCCTTTACATTAAACTCGCACACTCCAAGCTCCTTGTGTTAGTTGTTTCCCCAGATAACACGTTTGACTTCCATGACACAGAGGTGCGGAGTCTGATTTTCTGTCTCTCCCAAATCGTAAACATTTAACCAAGCAGGTTTGATCAGGTAAAAGACCAATCTGCTCATTTACGCATTTGAAACAGTTCCTAGTACTAGACGTGGTTTCCACAAAAGAAAAGACGGCCTATCTTCTCAAGAGCTGAAAGGGTTAAAGATGATTTCTGATTAAAAAAGAAATCATGAGGTGGCAGGTATCACTTCAGATGTTTTTTTTTTCCAACCACTAAATTGTGGTTACTTCGTGTTTACTCTGCGAAGCTATTCTATCGTTTCACAACTAGTGCCAGAGTACAGCAGCTTTTTCACACGTGGTTAGTTCTGCATACTGGAATTAAGCTGCAAAAAAAAGCTAGTTTTGTTTTTTTACTGATTTGAGAGATTAACACCAGAAATGCATTCAGAACTGCCTCGAGGGTGAGCTCAGTCTTATGCAACTTATTATGTATTAAAAAGAGGTGTTCTCCCACATGATGACCGAGATTGTTCCAACAATCATTGTGAAAAAAGTCTAATGACTAATTATGGTCTTTTAGCACCTCTGACTCTGTGTTGCCCCTTGTCGCCCACAGTCCTGTGGATGTTTGTAGATTTCTAGAAAGTCTCTCTCCTGTCCTTAGTAAAACAAACCTCGTTTCACTCCCTCCCCACACTGCAAGGTGAAAGCAGTTATGCCTTTTTAAACTCGTCTTTTGCTTGTCTTTTGTTACTGTGATGTGCGGCTGCCTCTTAGTTTCGGACTCCGGAGACAGAGGGGTTGTACACCCTGACAGCAGATAATGAGAGTTGCCACTTCTTTACACAAAGGATTGTGGGAGTGGGGAACAAGCAGCCCATCCATGTGGTTGAAGACAGCCTCCTCTCAGTCTTCAAGAAATGGCCAGTTGAGACCCTCACAGGAGTTAGGTGCTAGAAAACAATCAAGACAGATGGACTGAAAGAGTTGCTGGGCTGATGTCCTTTGTAACTTTTCTTTCTAGTCCCTTTCCTTACCTTCTTATATGATCCTTGTATTATTATTATCTTTATATTCTTAGCCCTTATATGATCATTATTCTCATGCTCTTATGTTAGACCGTTTGCAAGGCTCATAAGAAGGGTTTTGTTGCAGGCTGTTTCCTATAAGAAATAAGATCAGATCACTTTACTGGCCATATACAATTTCTTGTATTAGGAATTTGTCTTTTCGCACACCCCAGCTTGCTCTCCATGAGACACACGGGCACACAGATAGGGAGAGAGAAGCTTGGGCCTTGACCTTTATAAGCTTATAAGGCAGGATCTGTGGTTGTGTTTCACCGGAAAAGATGATCTATAATTGTGAAAAGCATGACAATGCCGGAGTTAAAGGGAGCACACAGGAGAGTCTGGTTCTACTGAAGTGAGCCACTGTAATGAGAGTAATAACCGGGGCTCAGCACCACATCGTTTGCACACCTGCCTGTGGGAGGTCAGGTCATTTTGAATTTGCCTGTTAACAATACTGGGTCCCCAGAGGCTCCCCAATTTTAATCTGCAGGTCCGCATCCTGTTTTAACCCAGGAGGTCCTTACATATGTGTTGCACATAGAAGCCTGCTTGTTCTGCACAATGCATAACCCTCATCCTTTAACCTCTTGTGCAGAGCAAGCTGGCGTAAAAATACCCAGCTCCACCATCGTACAACAGTATGAAACTGACCTTTTAAAAAGAAAAAAAAAACATCAATTAGGTAACACAATATTTCTCTTGGCACTGGGGCCGCAGCAAATAAAGTGGACTGCAGCACAGGCAGGGCTATTAAAAAAGATCTAGAGTCTAGACGAAAGTATGTCCCTTTCATACCTGAACCGCAAACCTTCTCTTTTTTATGACTAAAATACAAAGCGACAGTGGTTGAGAAAATGAATAGCGAGTGAAACCCTCAATGAGCAGAGAGGGAAGCTGTAATGAGAATTGCAGGAATGGGTTTAAGAGGCAGGGAGGGCAGTGATGGTCCCAGCAGAAGATTGCTTCACCATCAGACTGTCAGGTTTATGGGTGTGGGGTTGGGGTTGGGGCTGGGGGGGGGAGGGAGGTTTTTTTTGTCTATTGGACAGTTTGGGAAGAGCTAGAGAAAGCAGCGGTCACAGGTCCGTTAATCTTGGAATTCCACGTGTCCAATCCCGTAATGTTGATATTTTCGCTAGCGGCGATTTTATTTTTCTGCAGAAGGCGGCATCCCAACCAGGTGTGTGCTTTGACGTGCATGCGCGCCCGGAGGCCAAACGCAAGCTGCGTCTGAAGGCCGTACGCGGGCCCCCTGCGGTAGGACAGTGTGTTTTGATCAGACAGTCAGGAAGGAAACACGCGTGATCGCTGCATGGAGTCCTGGTAAAACTCCGCTGCCGAGCATGAGCACACAGGGCCAGATCCCAGGCCCAGCAAACAAGTTCTGGAAGGGGGCTGTGCTGCGGAGTCTTGCGGAAGGTGAAATGCTATGAGAGTGATAGAATGAGGGTCCTTATTGTCGGAGGAAAGCAAGAGCCAGTGTTGCTCACTGAGGGTTTGGTATTGTGTGAAACACAGGCTTCAGGAGGAAAGCCTGGAAGTGCTGTCCTTTCTCCCTGAACATAGAACCCCTTGACAGGGTACAAACCATTAATTTTACTTGAGGCTAGACCTTTGCCTTTACGAGGCCAGCAATGCATAGCATTTAGTGGTAGAGTCACACATACTCCAGCAATTACCAGTTGTTTTCATGGGTTTTGGTTTGACAAAGTATTTCTTCCACAGGCAATTTATTTGCCAAAGACGCATAGCATAGCTTTGAAATAATAGCGGGCCCCTCCAGCATATTGCAGTGCACGAGCTTCACACACACCAGGCAGCTCTGCTATTTCCCAGACTGCCAGAGCCATCACGCTGCTTGTGCTGTCTTCATGCTCGTCTCCCGGGCTTTTGGCTGTTTCACTATTGATCGATCTGCCGTCCCTGCGCACTTTCTTTAATCTGACTCAGGAGCGAGCCGTTAATCGTGGGCTGGGATGAGTTATATATGCTCTGTGCCAAGAAGGCACGCCCTCTTGGTTCTCTTTGTAGAACTGACCTTCTCTGCCTTGCCTTTGTTTTTTTTTTTAAAAAAAGAAGAATTGATTTCAGTTATTAAAATCTCATAAGCCCTGTCACTGGAGTGTGTTTCTTTGAAGCGGGTTCGGGTGATGAAGAATTGTGCAGAGCTCCTCAGAGCTCTAGACTCATAACCCAGGGTTCAAATCCTGGAGCTGTCTTGCTGTGTCCTTGAACAAATAGCTTCTCTCAAGGTGTTTTGGGAAAATGAATGGTTATATAAGTCACTTTGGACAAAAGTATCACCTAAATCGGTAAAAATTCTGTAAGTACAGTGTGTGAGATCTCAGTTTTGTATTGCTCTGTTACGACTAATGAAACACCCACCCCAGCTGGCACCCCTGTAAAGATTAGCTGTGAATTGATCCAGAACTGTGAAAAAAAATGGTGCAAATTTACGCTTTGCATCTATAGGTATGTATCCCAGTTGCATAGCTCTTTTAGCGAACCCGATGCCGTGCCATACGAAAGGCACAGGGATGAGCTGTCAGAAAAACAGAAGATCGGGTGTTAAATTAGAAGCGACAGCAATTGATTACAGGAAATAAGGCTTTTTAATAAAGCACGTGCGCACCACAACACGGTCTTTTTATAGTGGCATTGTGGAGGTGGAGGAGCGAAATCTGGTATGGGATTTTTGATAGGGCCTATGTAAAGGCAAGAGGGGTTCATACAGTACATTGGGTATATTTGTGGCTTCTGTTTTAAGCATCTGGGGCCACAAACCATATGGCGGCCATTCACTTTTAATGTGGGATATGCATTTAAATGTATTCAAGTGTGCTTTAGAGCAGAAGAAAGGAGAAGAGGTTATGAATGAAATGCCACCATATGGCTAATTGAGCCTCATTTAGCATGACTGGGCGCCAGTGGTCATAACGAGCCTTTTCATCTTCAGCGACGATGCCCCGCAAAGACAAGTCTTTGGAGGAAAGAGAGTGAGAAGCCAGCTGTTGCGATGGATCAGGACTCACCGGCCTGGACATTTTGAAGGCTGTTGTTACCCTGTGAAGCAGGGGAAGGAGGAGGCCTCGCCAGAGAGATCAAACGAAAGGTAGCAGCGAACCTGGATACCTGTCCAGTTCAGTAAAAACTGCAGAGCGTTTCTTGTTCTCCAAGACGAGCGAAACGAATGTTTAAGGGCGAGCCTGTGTCTTCCAAGCCGGCTGAACTCCAAAAGAAGAGAAAAGACAGACATCTGATATTTTTCAAGTGTAAATGCAGATCATCTAAAATACCTGCAGCACATCTCGCAAGCGTTTTTTGTGCTCATCCTTGATTGGGAAACACACAAGCTATCCCAAGTACAATGACCTTTCCAATTACTAAACTTAATATTTGCTTTTGGAATTGTTTACAGGGGTCCTGCTAAACCTTACCAGCCTGGATTTCTGCCATTATGAACAGTCTTTTATCAGCTGTCAAGTGGATTAGAAACCTATATATTTTTTCTCTGGTGACCGATGTACCGCGTAAACAGTATGACAAGGAAAATTAGTCTCTTGTAAACGTCAAACAACAGGTCTCTGCTTGGGTTGTGTTGATGGATCTTCCATGGATACAAGGGCCTGTCTGGTCTGAAGATTTTTTACCAGTGGTTTGCATTAACATTCTGAAAATTCACATGCAAAAGATTCATCATGCATCCCACATCAGAAAACCACTTGAACCCAGACTCATCCCTCAAAAGTATTCCCTGAGAGAAGTTTGGAAGCCAGGAATAAAATGCTTCTTTTTCTTATTGTAGACATCTGAGGTTCCCAGAGTTTTTCAAAACCTCCTGGAAACATGAATCTGGGACCCTTGGAGATAACCCCCAAGTCTCTG